AAAAATGATCACCAAGCACTCTTAAGTTTCAACAAAAACGATTATTGCTTTTTATTTGACAAAAATGACATTTTTTGGTGCTTACGACGGCCGAGATCTCAAAATCAGCGCGTGTTGGCGTAGTTCTGCCTTCAAACTTCGATTGCTCGTAAAAAATAATTTGAAGAATTGTCTTTCCGCCTGAAATCTATTTTTTTGCCAGTCAGTTACATTTAGATAATATCAATGACCGACAATAAAATGAGTTTTCGCCCTCAAAGGCTCCTCTGCGTAACTTCTTAACGACTTTTTATGAGAAATCGAATGCCGAAGTCAGGATTGCACAATAACGCAGCTTGTGGACTAAAATAAAAAAAAATTCAGAATTTGACAACGTCTTCTTCTACAAACGCTTTTAATGTTTGAATCTAACATTTCTAGAAACTACGTGATTTTTGAAAGTTTGCCGGGAGAGAGTGCACCATAACTCGAACAAGAAAACTTTCTTGATGAATGATGGTCCTACTTGGAATTCCATCAATGTTCGTATTTTGCATCCAAAACTCGTAAACATTGATCTTTTCTAGTCAGAGGACTGAAAAGTTGTTTTTATTTTTCGATATGGCCGATTTGCGTTGAATCAAGGAAAACCCCTTGCAAACGCTGCATATAGTCGAGCATTTGATTCCAGCTTTTCTACAGGAATAAGCTCGTCGGCATCCCTTCTTGCAACTGCAGGATATTGTGTTGAGCCGTTCCTGGGGCGCTAGTGGTTAGGCGATTACAACTGGGATCAAGCCGTTTTTTGTTGTCTTCCATTCCATCCCCATTTCAGTGATTGTACCTCCAGATCTAAACCTGCAACCCTGAAGGAGTGCTGGCCAGAGCCGGTTTCGGTTGGAGGCAAACATGCCAAATTAAAATATGTTTGGAACTGCCACCAGTGCACAAACACAATGAAATTCACTCCTGCCTCAGCGACCTTATCAGGAGTGGCGTTGAGATCCATGCATTTTGAGGTTACGTATTGTAGGCTTGCGTTATTTAAAAGAAGAATGCAAAAAATTCCGTTAAGATAAGTGCTGCATTTAAGAAATATCCAATTTGGGTCAAATCTCAGAAACGGTAGTCCAAAATTTTTTGTTTACGCTGCCACTGGATTCTACGTAAAAATATCTAGAATGCACAGTTTTGCCTTTTTTATCTTACGGACAAAAATGTAGCTAGATTGATTCTGTTGTAGATTAAAGTTTCACAAAAAAGTGGTACAGGGTAGCGGAAACCCCGAGTCTCTATCATTAAAAACAGCTGAGATCTTGCCTGTACACTTCGCAGCTCGTAAGGGTACTATTATACTACTGGTTCTTCCTATGAAACTTTACTTCATTAAAATCTATACCTTCAACACTTTCCATGATTTATTCCCTTTTTCATGAGCTTCTTGGCAGTTGATGCCACCACCCCTTAACTAATGCACATGATAGATGCTCCTTGACGGAATGGGTGATTGGAATCAAACCACAACAATTTTGTCCCTAATTATCTGAGAATCTGTGACCTCAACGTCTTGATCAATTGAGGTACACGATACACCACATAATTCCTTAATTTTGTGTGTAAGGTCTACTGCAATGGTCTTTAATTTTAATAAGAATAAAATTTTATATAAGATACTCCCTTTTCGAGTTATAAGGAGAAAACCTAAACAATGTCGAAAAATTTCATCAGTCTCAAAAGCTTAGCATAAGTCAGAGACCGTCGTAAACTTATTTAACACTCGATTTAACGCTTATTTGGGATGCCTATTGTTGATTAAATTACATATTTCCAGTTGTGCATATTTATTTGCCCGTGCGGCCTTTTTTAGCTAATTTTCCTGGACTATTGGTACATTTCAAGATAAAGTGATTGTTGGGGTAAAGGGTAAAGGGGTAACTTGCAAATTTTTGCGAGAACTTTAACTATGGGAGTACCATGATCACTAAGCAGGTATACAAGGCGTAACATCTCGGAATATAAGCCCTTTACCATAAAAGATACCGAAACAAAACTTACAGCAAAGCACACGTTTCTAAAATATGTTTGCGTGCTGTATGAGTATGCTTTTTTTAAGGAACGCCCCATATTTTATTACATATTTGGAAAATACTTATTTTTAATGTAACATACCCTTAACCTTAACGATTTCGCTGTTATGACATTTCTTCCTCAAAATTTGTTTTTTTATAGAAACTAAATCCATCACCAAATATCTTATACCCGTGTTATTTACCAATGAAGTTCGATAAAAAATCACGCAGTCAACCACTACAACTTCCATTGGTACGCAAACGAAAACCCGCATTCCATAAGAACACATCATCATCAGCTGATGGATCACTATAGGTTTGGAGTGGTATACGGGGACAACATTTTCTGGGTCCTTTTTTCTTTGAGGGACACACGGTAACCACAATTTAAGGTTCTTTCGTGTCGATTTGCTGGAACCCTTGAAAAACCTCCCTGTAGCCACTCGACGACAAATGGTTTTCCAACACCATGGAGCTCCTGTACTACAGCCTGGAAATTAAGGAATATCTTGATGAAAGGTTTTTCGAGGTGGAGGCCCAGTAAGGTGGCCCCAAGATCGCCAGACCTTTCGACCATTTACTACTCGAACGCCAGACCTCACTCCCCTCGATTTCTTCATCTGGGACTACAGCAAGAATGAGGGAAAGAATTCATGTGGCTTTCCGTGATCACCTGAAGTCCTCAGGGTGTGTAGTGCCTGCGAGTGCAAGTTGAAGTTATATCGCCAACGAGAAGGTCGCCATTTCGAACATTTATTTCAATTTGATAGATTCGCCTTTGTTCGTGTGTCATTTTCATTTTTTGTAATTTTAAATCTACATAACTGTTTGGCCTTTTTAAATTAAAAAAAATGGCGGATTTGGATTCGAAAAAAAGCGATTTTCTACAAATTGACGTTTCAACTTGTTTTTTCTCTGAAATTATTTTATAGAATGGGTGGTTTTGCTAGTATCAGTGGAAATTTTGTAGTTTCGGCTATCCAAACTTAAAAAAATATGACATATGGCGAATTAAGTCAATCAAAGATTATTTTTCAATAAAATAAACTATGTGACTGTGGAAGAGGTCTTAGCCTATGCCTCAATTTAAAACTTATCCGGCGGCGCGATTTAGTTTCTCTTAACAAAAATTCGAAAAACTGTCAAATTTTGAGGAAATGTGTTGAAACAGCAAAATCGTTAAAGTTAGGGGTATAACATGTTACATAAAAAAATCAGTACTACATAGTACTTTCTAAATATGCAATAAAGTTCCATTTAAAAAAATGCAAGTTTGGTACCTACGTCACTGAAATACAGTACCTACGCCCCTGGTGATCAAACATATTTTAGAAGCATGGCGACGATAAGTAAATGTGTACAATTTTGCCGTAAGACTTTTTTCGTATCTTTTATGGTAAAGGAATTCTGATCCACGGGGTCTTTTGCTACACCCTATATTCAGGTAATTGAAGGTACAATGCAAAGTAAATGCGATTCAGTGTAGTACATTGCAAGTACCGAGGCAAGTACTTTTCAGGGTAAAAAAGTTGTTATTCCTTCTAAAATTATACCTACGTCCGTGAGCTCCTGGGTGCAACGGCAAAGAAGGCAGTACAATGAAAGTACTTCGAGGTACGATTGTTGATATTATAGAATTAAGTTACGGATAAATGTTTGCTACCCATCCCCGATTTTACCACAAGCATATAATTGTTAAACCAAGGGAGTATAACGAAAGATACAATAACAGTATTAAAAACGATCAAAGAGAAGGGGAGATAAGCCAGGCACAGAAATAGACAGACTAGACAGTAAATTTAAAATGAAAAATATAACAAAGGTTCCACTTTGCATTTATGGATTAGCGAATGGGCAATTTAAATATTTATTCCCTCATGTTTATTTGTATTTGTAAGGATATAAAAGCTTTCATTTAAAACTTTTGGGTTATGAACTTGATTTAACGTTATAATGTTTAAGTTTCTTTAGTTTAATCAAAAACAAAGCTTAACGTCCATTTTACATTTAAAAGTTTTATCTCCTATAAAATGAATAAACCTGTAACAAATTACAGTTTTAAATGCAATTTAAAAAGTAATTTTCATTAATTATAATATTCATCATTTTTATACAACTCGAGGATAAAGGCGTGGATGAAAGTAAAAGATAAAGGAATATCTTTACTTTTTTATCTCCCCAAAGTTAAACTCTCTTGAAAACTCGTTCTTGAGTAATTTCCCAACATACAAAAACTGTATTTCGTTGAGTGTTCAACGGTCTAAGCCCAAATTTGCATACAAAATAACGGCGATCGATAAACACGAAGCAGGAGCGGAAGACACTGTACAAATTGTTACTTTATATTATGTATGCCAAGATAGGGCCAAAACGCACGGTAATCAATCATCAAATTTATCCTTAATCATATCTAATTAAATTCCATTTTATTTCCAAAATTGCTACCTTTAAAATTACACTTTCCTGAAAGTTTATTTTTCAGAAGCTTAGAGCTTGATTGATTACATCAAAACGTTCAAATCTTGTTCTATAAACGGGAAAGCCTTTGCGTAATAGTTTTAGTTCGATTGGATGCGCAATACGATTATAAGTAACCGGCCAACGTTTGAGATCACGTCAGAAACAACCAAGCACAATGTAGTTTAACTATGAAATTATTTTGGGCGGATGTTACTTTATGCTTATTATGTACGTTAGGAATCGGTACGCTTGGGAGTAAAGAAGAGATCTAACTAATAGATTAGGTGTTAATGGATGATAGAACAAAGGATCCGATATAGTAATCCCTCGAGAATCTCTAAAGCCACTTGCATTCAAATTTCAAATTTATTACCAAGTACAGGCAATACCTGTCAGACTAACTACAGCAACCTGTGTAATTTACAAGCAGTCGCATAAATCATAGCTCTATGTAGCTACGGGTGTTGATAACTAAAAAAGAAAACCAATTACCTCGTCCTTTCCTTTCATCACGCACATTTTCACGTCGGGTTCATTGGAATACCAGGACAATCGCTGTTGTTCCCGAAGATCGGAGATGCTGAGATTGTAGACGATATTTCTGAAACAAAATTGACCATTACTTAGGGTACACAATAATTTCATATAAACACTCCATTTTCAGTTAAGGATTGTAGATTTTCTCCACGTAAGTATCCTTCAATCAAGAGAACTAATTTATTTTACGGATTATGGTGTTGATGCGATCCAAATCTTAATCAGCGGCAATCCATTACAAAAACGTCCTGTTATATTTATAAAGGAGATTATTACTTTTATCCACCCGAAACTTTTCGGCGTTCTTATCGGATTCGCGGTTAAAATCTAAAAACGTCGTCGATACACCACCGTCGCTTTATTGCGAATGCCTCGCAATGTAAACCTTAAATTTACGATCATTATTTTGTGTCGTATTAAATCCAGACATATAGCAGACAGGTTTAACTCCAATAATCTTACACAACGTAAACAGAAGGCGTTTTGCCAAGAAATTGTTATTCATTAAACTAAATTAGCTTGACTGAAGTTTAGGGCAAACAGTCCTCGACGCTTAAATTTTGTGCAATATTTTGGTGGAACAGGTAATAATCCCGATGCAAAACTACTGTGGCGCTTCGAGATAGTTAAAGCGTTTGCTCCAAAAATCATTGGCACAATACTGAAAGATACAATGGAGTTTATGAAATGGATAGTTTGGATGGTGTGTGTAATTGTGTATACTTGCGATACTCAAATTTAATCTTATTTCATACCTTCGGTACCGCTCGCAAGTAGACGATGCAGAAAATGGATAATCCGCGTGAGCAATAAAATGTTTGTGATATAATATACACAGCACTAAATAAAGATGTCACTGTTTTAAATTGTTTCACTCGCCCTTATGATGGTGTCCAACACGCCCCCCTGTACCTCTTGAAAGATGTTAAGCCAATTCGTATTTTAAATATGATTTATGTAAAACAAAATGGGGAAATTATAGTATGCGATTTGGAATATGTCTATATAAAAATAAAGACAAATAGAAGAAATGAAATCGAACGACGAAAGAAATGACAAGATAACGCCGTGTTATGGAAAAGAGAATAGCAACATGGAGATTAGAAATTGGATTCTATTGAAACAGAAAAATCAAAATAGGAACAGACAGGAAGTTGAATTGATTAAAACCTAGAAGAGTGGAACTTACATGAAGAACGAAAAGAGAAGATATTGATAAGGAAAAAATACTAAAAAAGTTATGAATGCAAAGACAAAAGAAATGACACATGAGCAAGGGCGAGAGAAGAGGCAACTACGAGGAAGAATTGCACTGACGATCTTCGAGATAAAAAATAGAGAAATAAAAAAAATAAAAAACAGGAAGAAGTTTGCATAAGTAGAAGTAACAATTACAAGAAGCTGCTACGGTAAATGGCGAAGCAAAAGCAAATGGAGTAATGAAATATTTAATATTAAAAAAAATGGCAAAAGTCTAAGACGATAATTTTAACTAAAATAGAAATGATCAAGCCGAGTAGAGAAAGCGATGTGGGAGCTAAAATCCAATATGCGAAAGCAGAATAAACAAAGAAAATGTCAACAAAATAGAGAAATTTGTGAAAATGAAAAAATGATAATGGCATAATTAAACGGTACTACACGATTGGATAGAGCTCACAACTATCCAAAGGAGCCTACTTAACCGAAAAAAGTTGGTCCAAATACTTAGTGAAAAGGAAAAGTATTACTAACAGCAACATTTTCAAAAAGGGCTTCCAATAAAATAGCCCCTAAAAATATTTCTATGAAATCCTTCGAGGTTTTTAAAAGAACTTTACGTTGATTTGAAAAAAGATTTGAAGCTTTTCAAGAAAAATTTGTTCAGAGAACATTTCTAAAAATGTTTCTAGAAAGTTATCTAGCACAATATAGGAAGACTTCTGGAATAAGATTTAGAATAGTTTTCATAGAAAATGTCGAAAAAGATCCTTGCTTTCAACGGGATTCCTACGCATATTTCTAAAACGAGTCATGACCAGGTTTTCATTCCTAGGAACATTTTTTCGAAGAGATTTTAAGGGACATCAAGAAAATTTAAGACTTAGTCAATGATCCATGATATATCGGAAAAAAACAGAATCTAAAAACAAAAGTTTTCTGCACTTTTTCGCTCTTCAACATTTTTGTGTCCGTCGTATAAGTTAAAATTGTTTTAGTGCACTGTGTTAGCGATTCCTCATTTTGGGATATTTAATCTTTAGATCAAAACTGTGTAATTTTAAGTTTTGTTTGTTTGTAATGGTGTGTGTTTTCCTTTGAATCAATTTTTTTCTGTGTAAAATAAAATCATCATTGTAATTTCACGCAAATTTCTGTGCTATTTGGGACCTTTAATTATTAACGACAATACATTCTCATGTTCAAATCAGGATTAGTTTTGTTGGATTCTAACACAAAGTTTGGGTGTTTGTCAGAATTTAGTGGAAGCCGGTTTGGAATGAAATAGTTTTTAATTTCTGATCGAATGACACCAATACCAAGTCTGTAAGTGGTGTAGTTCCGGAGCCTTTTGTGATTCACACAGACAGGCGGACAGACAGACAAGAGACTTGCACTTTTTATTTTTTGAAAGTGAAAGTGCACTAAAAATTATCGACTATTGCCAACTAATTAGAATTATTAATTTAATAAATGGTAAATTTCGTATTTGTCCGAGTATAACATAGAGATGGAATTCGGAACAGAACTAATAAATAGCGAGTTATATACGGAACTTTTGAAGCAATCATTTTTGTGCGAGACTAATTGGAGTGTAGTGATCATTTCTTTTGTGAGTTGCGGTACACTTTGCGGGTACCAGTTTCGTTATCTTATATTTGAATGATATTTAATTAATGTGCCCCGTTGATCTTGAGGCAGTGTAGGGCAACTAATTTTTATAAATAGAATGCTCTTTTATTTACAATTACAGATAAGCCGACGGTAGCTATGATTTGTAAGAACAATTACCTTCATAATAGAATGGGTTATTATTCCAAAGATTTAAGATAAAAATTTTTGTAAGAACAATGGCCAGAAACACGAAGACCTCATGGTATGTACAAGGTAAGAAAGAAAAGTGGTTACAGAAGACTTTAAATGAATTGTAACAGTAGGCAGGTTCAGTACGTTCTATGTGAGGGATTAATGATGGTGAAAGTAATACGGTCTATATTTCCTTGGAGGAGTTTATGCGGAGCTTCCGTTTGTTGATATGGTGACTAGACACATCTGCATGAGATGGGAGAACCTACTTGGCGCATTAGATTGGAAGGGAAATGAAAAGAATGAAGTGCACTGTTTAAATTTATATTGAGATTCACTGAGCCGTATTGTCAATTTGTGATCCATACATATTAAAAAAAGTAGTACGTAATTTATCCAATTTCATGGAGAACACGAGCGGCGACGTCCTGGGAAAGTGTTCAATACACATACTCCAATGCAAATATTTACGGTGGGGTGCTTTCAATATCTGTGTAGTATTGCACGATATAGCTTTCTCAGGTTAGGCTTAGGGCTTAACAAAAAGAAAAAAGTTATCCTTACTCGATCAATTGCAAACAGTAAAAAAGAAATGTATGCACATAATAAAAATGAATTTGATACCTTACATCAAAGCTCGTTTGATCTAAGAGATACGTGAAAGTAGCCTCTTATAAGAAAATACACAAGATTTCAATTTAGGAAATTCAAAGTGTTGAATCTAAATAAAGCTGACGATGTCGCGTTCAAGCGTATCCGTTTTATCATATCGGTAATCTTTCTTGTGGCTTTCGAAATCGATCAGAAAACTTTTAGTTTTTTTGCTGACATCTAACTTGCAAGCGACAAAGGACACTAAATCAAGAAAATAAGTAGAACATACGACTGAAACTTTACATGTCTCCGTCTCGCTCGCCTAAAAGAGGAAAGCTAGGGCAATATCGGGGTTGACTTTCAGTCAAATCGGTGGAAGATATTACTTCAACAAATGTTTAATAAATCTTTGATAGAATTCAATTTTATTTCCATGCTCTCAAAGCACTAAACTTTCGCTAATACGGAAAAGTCCCATTTCTTTGTCAAAATGCAGTTTCAACCATAAACAACTCTATATCGACGTCGGAATTTTACATTCCAGATTTTAACATAAAATTTCATGTTCATACTAAATACAAAATTTATGCGCCAAAGACGAGCCTTGCTTAATGTATAATTTAATGACCTATAAAAAGAGATCTACTAAAAGCAAGACTCCAACAGGATTCTTTGGTGACATTACAACTGATAATATAATACATTCTGAATACAGAAAAAAACTCATAAACTTTTATAAAAAACTTTTTATGAAAATCCTTTACTTTTTAATCCTAGCCGCGCTTTAATGAACACGAGATAAAACTAGATCAGGCCTTTTTTGTAGTTAGCGGCGGCATGATAACTTTTGCTGAAAAATTCTAAAGTATCTCCTCGTACATCGCCTTTTGTTTATTTTCTTAACACGTTTCAGCAGCTCGGCGCCTAATTTACATAGAAATGAAATCCTTAACAGTGTTTTAATTAGCTTATGTAGATGACGAATCCATATTCCATATATACTGTCTTGATTCGTATTTTAAAGCATTCGTGCAAAAGCTCTCATTGTGTGTTAAACTTACTAATTCATATACCTACTGAAGTGTATACATTATAATATAAAACGCGTAAGTAGGTAACTGAAATTTGTGAAAGAGAACATTTCAAAATGGGTTTAGGTTTAATTTAATCAGATTGCTTTGATATCTGTTACCATGGCACGGCGAGAAATCACCCTCCTATATTTCGACGTTTTCTGGATAAAATCGGAGAATCGACCTTCAGCGAGGCATCGCAAGTAGAGAAACATCCGATTGCGATTTCTAACGCTTAATTGAGCCAATGCGAGTATTTAATATTGGTTAACCATGGTTTCTATTTTGAAAATCTGTAACTAATTCTCAGAAAAACTCTTAGGATTTATATTTTATAGGTATTTGTTTTGTAACTTGTTAATATGGAAAATGTGTGGAGGTGCCAGTTACTCGCAAGAGCAAAGTGCCTTAATTAAAAGTCGCTATGGTCTTAATGCTAAACAACTATTTGGCTTAATTCCTTACTAAATTGCGAGTGAGGAATTAATAGCTCCATTTACACACAAACGAAAGAATGACAAACAGTATTGCTCTGTATAATAATCATTAAATGACTAGAATTATTCGCAAATAAAGATGAAACATTGTTCTTTAAATCCGCTTTTCGAAAACAACTTTTTTTATCTGAAAATATTCAATCAAATTTCACATAAATCCAAAAGTATAAATAAGTTTCGAAAAATTCTAGGACGATTTTAAATTATGGACAATATTGATAATTAAGCGTAAGATTTCGAAAAAAACTTTCTAGAATTCTTAACTAAAGCAGTGTGTGAGACCAGGGTAAAAATCAAAACCAAACCCAACAAACTACTCCCGGAGAACCTCTTCGGAGCAGCACGCCGAAAACTAAAAAAGATATGGCAGGAACTAGAGGGCTCTGGGCAACTTAACCTTCCAGCAACCTGGAAACGCACCTACTGAAACCGGACTGACGACTGGGACGCAAACGCGACAGCGTCATCCCAAGGAAAGTAGCTCGAAAAAGGTAACAACTGGGACCGTAAAGGACACCAGAACCTTTAGAGAAGCTAAGCTTTTGTCCATGAAGACCTGGAGGAACGCTGGCGGAAAACTAGCCAGGCGAATCGAAGCCTAGATCCTTGAGTCAACGCTTTGTCCATTGGAGTGGTTTCGCCCAAATTCACGGAGTGTCGCCACCGAGGGGGAGCGCTGTTGAACAACATACGCACACCAGGTAGCGGTGGACTGGTTGAGGTCGGAGCTAGCGAGAGCAGCTCCGTGACAGAGGGCGAACTTCGATTGGTCGGAGCGAAGAGCCTCCCAAAACAGTAAGTACACCACGCCCGGATGCCCGGGCAGGATCGAAATCCAAAATGATGGAGTTGCAACCACCAATTGGTACCATGGATGATAAACCTCTTGCATAAGTAGTCAGAAAGTAGAGCGATAGTTGGTAGAAAACATGTAAAGATGATGCACGTTTTACATTCAAAATTAGCATCTCAAGAAAATTCATGGAGGGGGGGGGGGGGCTTGAGACAGCGAAATTTGATGGCCGTCTGGCACACCTTCAGGGTCTAGGTAGGCTGTAGCAATGTGCGGAACATGATGGTACGTAACATGCGAGCAGTTTAGATTAGGGGATTTATTACAGAATGTAACAATTAAGTATGTCAAAATAAAAGTATGATTAAGGGGCGAAAAATATTTTGTTATTCAAAAGTGCAGATAAAACTATCAAAACTAAACTTCGTATGATCGTATGATATTCAAAAAAACCACTATAGGCGTGTACTATGTCGTATGGTAAAACTCGATTAGCGCGACCACTTTTTGGTGATTATTCAATTATACTTGACAATTTCGGATATAAAATTTCCCCTTTTTTTAAATGTCACAATAATGTTCGGCAGTTTTTCTGTTAAATACGCCACGAGTAATTGCGTTTTTGTTATCCGACTAAGAAATGCAGTTGGATTTTTTTAAATTTTCAAATCCTAATTTTAGATTCTTCCGCTGCCTCTAGAATGGGATTTGCCTAGGTTATTGGGTGTGCTCTTTTTGACAAAATATCCGCTCGACGCAATTTGGTATCACGAAAACAATGGAATCATAGTTTCTCAACTGCACTCCTTGGCAAAATATCGTTACGTTTCTAATTATTGACTTAGAGGCCTGTGTACTAACAAAACTGACTTTTCAATTCACGAAATTACCATTTTTATCGTCCGATCAAGAATTGTAGTTGAAATGTTTCTTCAAATTGTAATTTTGGATTCGTTATTTTTACGTTGAAAAATTTCATCGAAATCGGAATCTTTTTTGCGTCCTAACTTAGGATGGAATAGGAAATTTGTAAAAATGTTTCCTTTGTTGGAATTTTGTGTTTAGACATATTTAAATCTGCAGCATCGTTTTGAAAGATTTTGGTATAATGAATTCCCCGTGAAAATCAATTAATCCTGGAATGTGCTTAGACTTTTTTTTATGGTTCGATTTAAGTACTTTGAAAATCATTTGCAAATTACAAAGGCACGGCACATTTTTGGAATTTAAAACTATTTTAAATTGTTACGAATCTTGGGCAAGCTGAGAAGATTGACTTTTGCATCTTCTTTGAACTTAAATAAAAATTTTCAATAAAAAAAACTGAATAAAAGAAGACGCAAAAACATGTAGACTTAGGGCCAAAATAAAAGTAACCGTACATCGTGAATTATGAAATTAAAACCAACTCAAAAATTTTACGTGCACGACTAGCTTCGCTATTATTTCAATAAAGCAATGTGATTTAAATTTTAAAAAAACATCACTTTTTTGTAAAACAATTTTTAATTTGAATGGAGTTCTTTACCACTGTATCTCCGCGCAGTTGATTAGAATGTACGGTACTGGCTAATACACCTCATTTTTTAAGGCAGTCAGTCGTGACTCAAACACTGCGAATCGGTCAAAATGCGGTTATAACAAACTCCGTTCATTTAAAAATTGGTTTACAAAAAAAAAGTAACAACCATACAACTCATCGTATTGCAGTAAAGACAGTTAGCAGGTCAACCAAAATGTTTGTGTTACCTTTAACTTCGGAAAGCATGAAATTTACACAATAATAAGAATGGTAGGAGAGGTTATGCATTTTATGATTGAATATTGTAAGTAAAAGTTTTATTTACTCTTTGATAGGGTATTTTAGTGAGTTTCGTAGATGAACTCTAGTGGTTGTCAGCGCAGCATATACTATGAGTAAAGAAAAACATGTTTAAGGCGCTAAAATGGTCTATTAGTTTTTCATTGAATTTAATCTTTGAAAGTAAATAGCCGGGGGTAGGTACATCTCAAAAAGGCGCTCAGAATAGAAGTGAGCTAAATCATTGCACAAAACCAGTAATGAATTGACGGGTTAAAAGCGAGTTGAAATAAGTTTTATTGAGATAAATAAATTTGTTAAAATTGCCATGCATTGTTAAATTTGTGATTTTCCGCTGCAGGATGGCTATAATCTTGATGTTTTGTTTCCATACCCATAACCGTAAGTAGAAAACTTTTTTTTAAGATTCTGGGAAGCTTGTAAACTATCTTGCCTATTTTGCGAAGACGTTTTTGTTTGGGTATACGTACTACACTAGAAATTTGCCAGCAAAACTTCACCGAACAAAAACCAATGTAGACGTGAAAGTATTCATAATTCAATGTAAAGCTCTCTTTTAGCGTTTTTTTTAAGCAAGTCGGTTAAACTTGCTCCCAGCCAACAAAGATATGTATCAAAGCTGTATAGATTATTTCCTTCCTAAGTATCAAATATATAAAATACTCCTACACGAGGATAGCTCTATGTCAGCAACATAGACATGTATCAACTATGTATATAATATTTCATTAGTAACATAAATGGTATGTTTCAATAATGTATTTGAGATATATAGATTATATATACATAAATGTATTGGAGATATATAGATCATATATACATAAATATATCTGTGATATATTTATTGTCATGTATAGATATGTTTCATAGACGTATCTTTTAACTAATTTATTATGTAAAATATACATAGCAAACGTAACACAACTCGTACAGGTAATTAATAATCTGTTAAATAAAAAGGTAATAAGAATATCAAAATAGGTATTTATCTTTCTCGGTCTGCTCGTAATTTTGCCAACCGGAACCATTCGCTGGAAATGCGTTCGAAATCGCTTTCCTTGACATCAACATATGAATTTATTGTGACACCTGTAAACGATAATCAATATAAATATTAAGCTAATTAGCATCAATGATTTACCTTTTATAATTTGCATACTTTTTGTGGTGCTAATTTTAAAGTTTCCTCTTTGTCCTAACCAAGAGCACTTTGTAGACATTTGGTTTGAATAAACTTTCTTTAAAAGACGGTGAATATTATCCTTTCCATTTTTACCACCAATGTTACTTAAAATTATGTGCTGAAAAAACAAGCAAATTTTAAAAGCGGCATATATTTAATAGCGATTACTTACAAACTGTTTAGTATGGCCTTCATTCTCTAATAAAACTTCAAATTGTTTGAGAGCATCAATATTAGGGATTGGCAGTAGATCGTTTATAAATTTTGTTTCAGCTGTAGGCTGATTACGTTCTTCAGTTGTCACCGAGTGTAATTTTTTTAAATTTCATCAATGCTACGTACATATAAATGGACAGAATGCAGCATTTCCAAAATTTTGTCTAAAAAAATATTAGCATTATTATATTTATTAAACAAGAAGCCTTTATCGCCTACCAAACTTCTTGTTAACTTCTACGTCGATTGCTACAGGAGTGGCTGGTGATTGTATGAATTCTTCTACACCAAATCTTTTCTGCTTCTTTTCATTTTGTTTTGTTGTGTAAGGTCCAAAAACTTGCTACGAACAAATATTAATTGACGATCAGTGATGCGGTAACTATCGCAAGGTTTAGGTAAGTGCCAGGTTACTCATTTAATATACCTTTGCAAACTTGTGAACGTCGGTTACTAAACAAACCACAAAGTGTATTTTTGAGCGTCGCCCTAATGAAATATGTTAAAAAGAATCGTACATGAAGTGCATATAAAGTTAGGTTAAGATCGCTTTAATGTACAAATTTTAATCAAATATAAAAACTTTCTAGGTACTTACATGTCGCTGGGTAGCATGCCAAAAACTAAAACTTCACCACAGAACTGTTTGTATATATATTATAATAATAAACACAAATTAAACTTTTATTAAAACCACCCTAATTGCATCAAATTTTCGGAAGCGTGTGCATGTGCATAAAGTCCCTAGAAGTAATCTAGGGACTTTACATGTGCACAATTCACCGTGCCTTTGCGCATGTGCTTAGTGTCATTAATTTAAACTTGTGAATGTAGATTGTATTTGCGATATATCGCATATGTTCAAGTGACAAGTTGCAATGTATCATAAAAGTTGTATAGTAATATATACCGTGAATATGTTCTCAAAGGATGTGTGATACATTTCAAAATAAAAGAAATGTTATGTAACATGTACAGAAAATCGTTATATAACGAGTGTAATATGATTGAGCTTCGCATGCTATATATCATTTATATGCATGTTTGCTGGGCTCTGCAGAAGTTTACTCAAAGTAATTACGTCGATAATAAATAATTTTAGTAAAGCAATCCTTTCAAAATCTAAGTTTGCGTAGAGGTAATATTTATAACCGCACCCTTTTTGCACGTATAGAAGAAATAAAACTAATAGCTAATATCTATCCCGTATTTATCAAAGTGTCATGGGCAAATGTTGAACAAAAAAATAGAATTGAGCAAAAAGTAATCAAGCGGATCTAAATCCAAGCAAAAAAGTATCTGGCATTCTGTTTTCCCTTTTATTTTTCTGTTCGAGCGGGAGCATTAGATTAGGGCCAACAGCAGATACAACTGAACATCCCCCAGAGGTAACTTAGTAGACACATTAGGCCTCCCCCTCGTCTAAAATTGTACGGCTTTTACGTAGATACAGGTAAATATTGTGCCTACGAAACCAAAACATCGCATTAACACTGTTAGAAGAAAGTACCAAGTCGAATACCGCGCGTTGATCTGGCTAAATAAGAGTTTTAGCATCACGTAGCCATTAGGCAGGTGAGATTATCACCGACGAATAGAGAGGATTCTGAAGTGCACTCTCGTAATTGCAACATCTTCCCCTATCTATAAAAGTCTCGATGCCTTCCAGGCTCGATGATAAATCAATACACTTGAATCATGAAAACACGTTCGTTTGCGAGAAAATGAAGCCTTTTTGCCGTTTCTGTCAGATAAGGACTATAAATATGGCGCATATTTTCTCTGTCACAGATAAGAAAACCATGTAAACGTCCGGAATTATTTTTAAATCTATTTTTAGTCGCATGCAAATTTGCGTTGTTCGGGCTTTTTCTCATCGATAAAAAGCTCGGGATTTTTTAATTATAGCAAAACCAATTAAATTCCACGCACCATATTCTTAAAAACTAAGTTTCGAACGATTGACTCGTTCTTTGTTTAACCATAAGCTAAATCACTAATTAGTAAAATTTTAATAAACCACGAATTAAAGGATTCTCGTTAAAAATGTTCGCAAGACCCTCACCACTTTGTCATTACTTAATTGAATTCCATCTCGAAATTGTCGTTGCAAAGCGAAGTGCACTTCTGTTTCCACTACGTAGACATTTAAGAACAACCCCCGAAATGAATGTACATTGGTCATTTGTCACGGTCTTGACCACCCTAATGTTTGAACAACCGAAATTTACCAGTTCACCTCGTAACGAAAACTCTTTCGAAATATATTAAACGTCTCAGAAAATTCATTTTCGCGAGCAGTTGTAATAAAATACTTTTTGATTTGTATGAAATATTTCATCCGTGAAATGAAATCGCTGATTAGTGAGTTGAAAAATGAAAATGAAATGAAAAATAAATTCTGATGACTGAAAAGGAAAGTTTATTAATCTTAAACTTAACTCTAACGTAAAGTTATAAACGACAGTCTCGAAAAAAAGTTTTTAATGTATGTTGAATTTGGAAACAATAAATTTTATATCGCTTCAGCTATTATATTAATTTAACTATGACAAAGGAAATTTTTTCGTTTGCTGAATGTCTCCTTACTCATTTTTATTTCTCTTCGAATAACGTCTAGGATTTTGGAGTATTATGAAGACAAAAGTGCAAAATAAGTAGGCGAAAACAACAAGTTATAAACTTATGGCTATGGTCGCCTTCAAAGCACTTCCCCTAGACACCACTCTACACTTAAATACAGGTGAATGAAATGAGCCTTTAATATACGGAAGGGGCTAATTCTTTGTCTAATTTTATGACTAAAAGTTCACAATAAACATAGGTCCTTAAACGCTTCGTTACTGATCTACAGGGGGTTATTATTTCACCGTACACTTTACAATTTAAACTTTTAATTTATAGGCTAATGCAAACACAAGATACAATTTCAAAAGCCGACTGTCTAAACTAATCAAAACAAGAGATTATCCCGTGCCTACTGGACCATTTTGAAAATGTTACTTTCATTTAGCCAAATACCGAATATTGATTTCTCGATAACGGTCGCAAATACGAAAAAATTACAAGAGACCACACACATTTTCAAACGAATCACACTCTTATTTTAGGCACACCCTGTATATTAAATCGATAAATGCGGCATAATCCATGGGCCATGGCCTCAAGCGCAACAAGAGAGTGTGTCCCAGATTTTTTCGCAAAGGATCCATGAGACGTATTTTCGTACTGAATTTTGTGAAAACTCCGACTATCTTTTTGATTTACAGGGTGAACAATTAGTACCCGATCCATCCGAGTGGGGTTGAGATTTTATCCCTAATTGTAATTTGCTCGTTTTGCACATGGTGAAACGTTATACAGTCCAGTCATATCCACCGTAAATGACGTAGCTGCTTATCAGCACCCGAAGGGGTAGGAAACCCGCACTGAAAGCGCTCAAATTATGCCCTTGAGTGCCACAAAAATGTTATGTGATTTTAATACCTATATTCCTACGCCATCTAGGTATTTCCTTTGTAAATCCGTTTAGTTTAGATGTAGTTTGAGGTTTTTATTTTCCCACTAGCAGTCGTGCAGATGTCGCTTCCGTAGTTAATTCTTTTCTGCGTGCGCACTACTACAACAATTCCCCGTACAGGCCAGATACTTGCAGAGAAGATACTTGCCATATTTTTTCTTAGATTTTGCGTCGTGTTTTTATAAAAGGGGACCGGCTGTATGATATTTTCAAAAGGTTTTCTATTGTGAGTTGCTTCCGCACTTTTGCGGATATATTTACAAGTTCGAGGGCCGTTTACGGTATGTACACTGCAATTGCTTATTCAGATTGACTTTGAATAATGATTTTTAGGTTTTTTTTTTACTTCTGGCTTATTTTCTTCATTACTGTCTACCTGATTATTGCTGTCCACATCGATATTCTTTGTGGAATATTTCCACGGCCATCTTAAATTAAGAGACAATGGAGACATCACGTGATACATTACTATGTTCGTGCTAGTTTATTTACATTTTGAATGTTGTTGTTGTATAGAAATTTAGTTATATGTGCATCGTAAAGTAGTTTTCTTAAGTTAACGTCACGTATATGCCTTTGTACATCACCGATGTGTACGGACGATTCGTTCTCGGTCAAAATTTTGATATTGTTTAGTTATAAATTGAATTATTGTTTTTCATTAAATGTGTTAATTACGGTACCCGAGTATCGAACGTTAGATATTGCTATCACAATAGTGTAGATAAATAAAGCAGAAAAGCGCCCTTTCTGAGCTCGAGAGGTTGCGAACGGTAGTTCAAACGACTCCTTGATATAACGTTTGATTACATATTGATTTTCGATACAATCGAATTGTAATTACTATATTTGTTTGAATAGTCATTTAACAATTATAGTTCCGTTGTTTTCTACAGAAGCCTGTTATGATTTGTTAATTTTTGCAAATTTAAATTGAACCGTTGACATTTCAAATCTAGGTATTACAGTGTATTACAGTGATATTTTGAGATTATTTACAAAATCACCCTCGATTGTGACAACAATTATTGTTTATATTCTACCCTGTCAATGAATTTATTTCTTCAACTTATCAAGACCGGACCAAGGATCTCTTAGTTTGCATTGTTCCCCCTTTCGGTAAGTATTCTCTTTTCTCTTTTGAAATTTACTAAAGACCTCATTTCCATGGGCTTGTTTTCAGCTGCTTCAGATCTGTTCACAAACATCAACTTTCACATTTATTTATTATTTAATAAATGCGCCACTACTCGATTTAAAAACGTTACAGACAACCCGCATTACAACACAATTCTTTAGTTTCTCTGTGTGCCCAACTCAATACTTTTCACATAGCGGTAATAAAAAAAGCTCCAATAACCGAAGTGGGAAAAGTTCAAATTAAATGCTTATTCCATTAGTTAAAAACCACATATTTTGAAACTTGAAAACTTATCAAACTTGCATGATCTCTATCTGAAAAGCGTAGTTTGTTGGAAATCTAAAACTGCTATTATTACGTGACGCGAATGTATGGACTTTTCAAGAGAAAATTTTCTTTGTGTCGAGTGTACCTTAACTAGTCTAACTCCCGCTGAAATGATCTGGCCTATCAAGGAAATGCAGCGTTCGTTTTCGAACAAAAAGGATCTTGTTTGTAGCTTGCAATTTTAAAAGTTATTTTTAGTTCGGGATTTCTTTGTCTTTTTACGACGTTGCCGAGACATAAAAGCTTATTTCTGAAATGCGCCATAAGTGCATTACTTCATAATTTTCTCTCAAACATCTATCCGAGGGAGAATAGTGTTTTAATAAAAGTTTCAATTTAATTACGCGGAAGTGATTGCACGGAATTATTTTCAGTTTAAAAGTAACGTGTAGGTATAATACACCAAATTGAATTTGTAAATAACCTACATCTAATTGAATTTGTACCTTGTTATGAAATATCTGTGTAGCTCGCATCTTAGGTCTCTGGTAACAATGGAGGAAATAGAATTTTATGGATGCACAAAGCGTCGACGTCCGTCAGATGTGCAAGAAATTCCCACTGGCATCAACACTAACCGCACACAAAGATTTTCACTAGACAGATAAAAATTCTCTGGAGGAAATAATTAGATATCAAACAGTCTGGCTGTCTGTCTATCACTGCCTTGGATCCAGATCATACCGCCTCAAATATATTTCTAGCGATTTTCAGATGCATTAGTATAAAACCTTGTCAATTCGCCACGTTTACATTTTACAAAAATGGAAGCATACACAGTCACCTGCAAATTGCCTCTCATCCTCACCTCGTCATTAATAAATATCGCATTTCATCCAGGCTATTTGATAATGAACACTTCTCC